CCATTCCATGATGTATATGTATTTCAAAATACAGCTATACATAACATATGCATATAATTTTTCTTCAATTAAAATTTGTGTTCTAAAAATAAATAATAAAGACGATTTATCTTAAAGTTAGAAAAAATGAGATGAGGTTTAGGCGAAACAAAGGCATGTATGCGATAAATGATGGTAATGATAAATATTTAGGGTTCATAACAGTATGTTCTAAATTTCTAAGCATGCTTGACATTTTCTCCAATAATTTTTAAAAATAATAAAATTATACACCTGAAAAAAAATCTAGTCTTATTTTTATTTTTACAACCCAGATAAAGAACACCAGTTTCTTAGCTATTTTCCATGTAGTTCATTCCAGGAGAGTTGCAGATTATGGATGTCCTAGAAAACTGCTCTTATTCGCCCACAGTAAGCATCTGTCTGTCCAGAGAAGCCTAGAATAAGCCCTCAGATTTAGATGAAAGTAAATCTTCACCAAAGCTTCCTTACACAATGCCCATGTTGGCACAGATCCTGTGGTTTTCTAACTGCTGTAAAGCACCTCCGGGCTACAAACAGGGACCTCCAGAGCAGGAGTAATAAGACAGTAGGGCCTGGGGGAACCTCTGGGCCTCAGCCCTGCTTCCAAAGAGCACTTCTCCATTATCCTCTTTCCAGCCAGGCGTAGCAATGGGCCACCTCTCCATGTTATGATGTCAGTTTTCGTACAAGAATTCCTAGCAATAAGCAGCCCAACCAGGCTTTTGCTTCTTCCTACCATACTCAAAGTGACCCTGTGGCCAGCCAGCTTGCTGTTCCTAGATAAAGTTATAAAATCTGAACCCTCCTGACCAGTCCATCTGTCAAGCTGGCACCCTTCTTTGTGGGGAGGTCTTAGAAGGTAATTTTACACAAGATGAATGTCCTGCAATTTGAGGTCACTAAGCTGCCCAGCTGTTGCCACCTAAACTGCCAATCTATTCCAGGTGTCCAATATGCAATGGCCTCCACGAACAGACACCGGCAGTTTATTAACTGGCAACATTTAGCCTACGGCACAGCACGGTGGAGCCCTCACCCAAACTGCACGCTGCTGAGAGAACCACCCGCACTGAGGTGGCTCTGGCAGGCTGCTTCTTAGTGCTGTGGGGTGGGCTGCTGAAACATGCCTGTGCCCTGCTGCTTAGGGACGCCCCATGCCTAAACTGCTTGAAATTCTCACTGCTGTGCTCTCTCTCTCCTTCCCAGACACAGACTCAAGTGCCTTTCCTACTCCCTTTCACCCCTAGACCCTTCTATAAACCTGCCAAATTCTAGGCAAACTTCTTGCTCTTTCTCTGACAGCCCCAGTGATGAGATATAATGTGTACTATATACCTTACTTCACATTTTCTCAATACATCAATGCTTTCTAGAAAATGATAACATAGATTTTATCTTTCAACCTCTTTACTTCAACTTGTTTGTGAATCTCTAGAACAAAATCTTCACACACGGAACACAACTCTTAGCTCATCCCTCTCCCTTCAGCAGTCACAGAGTGGGGAAAGCTACCGACTACTTGGAGGTCCAACCCACCATCCATCTGAGCATAAACAAATCCTTGTGATCCTCAGCAGTGTTGAAGACAGAGCCTCACCCAAATAAACAAGAAGTGAACCTTTTAATTAATATCAGATGAAATAAATTATCTGCCATTTCTGTTGTGAGATATCTTTCCCCATCTCAACATTATAAAAATATTTAAGTTTCGTATTTAAGTGTTTGGGTCATCCTGAATTTATAATTATGCGCAGTCATTCCTTGGGATCTATGCAGCATGCCTTCTAGGGCCCCAGTTCCTGATAAAAAATCTGCAGGTACTGATGTCACCTATAAAAAATTGTGTCCTATATGCACAGAATCCTGTGTATTTAAGTGATCTCTTGATCACTTGTAATATCAAACATGATATAAATGTTATATAAACAACTTGCTCAACTTTTGCAAGGACTTTCTAAATATAGTAGCTTAAACCCATAAATGGTGAGCCTGCAGATAGAAAGGGACCACTGTCTGCGAGAGACGGTCCATTGCTAACCTTCCCTGTAGTAGATGATCGCTGGTCCTGCCATAGCAAGCACCCCACCTGTTCTTTCTTTCCCTCACTCATCTGCCGTGCTGGTTTTATTATGAAGAGCAGCTTCCCTTCACGTGAGTCCTTTTCTACACGTCAATCTCTCTCCTAGAAAATTCTGAACTAAGTAATTGGGTAGCGAATATAGCATCCTTTCCAGTAATCTGGTTCCTGGTTTTGACTCTTGAAAGTCCTCTCTGTACTTCAGTATACACTTCAGAATCTACTTTGTAGCTTCCATGAAAAAAAGAATGTAATTTGAATTAAAATTACATCTACAGCTCAATCAGGCAAGAGGACCTTTATGACAATGATCGTTACCCTTTTCTTACTGTGTGAGTGAGTGGGATGTTTTCGGGGAGGTAGCTAAAACTGATAAGCTTTCGACTTTCAGTCTCTGATAATTCACAAAAATGTAATTCTGTATGCAACAACCTTGTCAAATATTTTTACTAACTCTTATAACTTCTCTACAGATACTATGTGTCTCCTATGTAAACAAATGTGTCATCTGTGGATGATGACAATTTCATTTCTCAAAATGACAGATTTATGTTGTGCTGTGTCTCTGTAGATGGGCTCTACGTTTAAAAGAATGAATGAATGAAGAATCACGTCCAATTTCTGATGCTGAAACCATCCTAGTGTCTCATCTAAGCATTGCTACAGCTGTTGGTACCGGAGCTCCCCTCCTGTTGCAGTTTGCTGAAACACTTTCCAATGAGGGCAAGTTCATCTGCTAGGAGGGATCACTGTGTCTTCGCTAACTGGCCATGCTGTTGGGACAGTGAATGGTATTCATGAAGCCTCCCCTAGTCCAAGCACTTGCTGACTACCTGCTTTGTATTTTTTACAATATGTCCAGGGACACACTGAAACCCATAGCTAAACCTTTACCAAAGAACTATTTGGAAAAAAGGTACTTAAAAGATCAGAGTTCAAAGAAAAAAAAAAGAAAAGAAAAAGAAAAAACGGGTGCAAATACTGTTCCTTTGGAATCTGACCCAGACAGCAAGAAGCCTTGTCAATGTAACTGACAGCAGTATCAATCAAGGTATATTTTGTATCACGTAGGGTAGGGGGAGGTACTGTCTAAATGAATGTAGTGAGATTTTAATCATTTTTATATTAACTTTCAGTTGGATATAGCTTCATGAAATATTAGAAGAAAAGGTCAAAAAAACTTTTTAAAAATTATCAATGTATCAGTTAAATTGGATTTATAATTAGCAAAGTTTCTCACTTCCTATTTGGGAAAAAAAAAGACAATTTATAATCCACATATGCCAACATATCCACTGACTATAGAGGCGCCTTATAAAACATGGGCATTTTCAAATTTACCTTTTTTCCAAGCCTGCAAGTATTAAAGTTTCTAACAATTTCTGAATTTCACATTCGATAAAACAGAGTAACAGAAGAACGAGCCATTAAACTCACAATTTTAATAGGTTGCATCTTGCTGTATAAATATAACTTTTCTGGTTAAGTCTCTACTTATTTATCTCTCCTTTGCCTACAACCTGGCCTGAGTTGATCTTTTCTTAACAATTCCAAGTTGCATGTTTGTATCCTTCTGTGTATATGACTGAGAGAGCAGAGTATCTTAGTACAGCGTAATCATGCTGAATACAAAATAGCTACTGTCTGGTGGCAGCACATAGACAGAAGCGTGAAAGGCCAGAGGGAAACCCCAGCAGTCACAGCACAGAGCAGCTGCTCAGACAAGGCACTGTATTTATTTGGATATTTTAATAACTATGTCTCAAAAACTCAGACTCCTTTTTGAGCTTTCCAAAGATTTTGCTTGCTTTCTCACTGGGAACAAGACACATATGCTTAATAGAAGCCTGTGTCTCTCAGAGCTATCCATTTCCGGTTTACTAGTAGGTATTTCATGTCCTGGACACACATCAGTCCTGTGTTCCAAAGTTATTGCTCCTGACTGCAGAAGCGAGACGCCTACGACCAGCCACACCGTCTGTAGTGGGTAAGTCATTAAAGCGTAAAACTCAAAGAGGAAAGCTGCATTAACCTCCCCAGTTCCTAAATCCATTCATATTTTTAAAAGAAATGCAAACCAAGACCCCTTATTTTTAAACAAGGGAAAGCACACATCCGAGCAGTGGTGTGCACACTGGTCCTGGACAATGCTGGAGGCAGTTGTGGACAGAATCATGGTGTTACACACTCTACAGTTATAACACACAGAAGACGCTGGAGAAATTAACACTAGCATCTCCTCACAAAGACAGCAGGGCACCCCACTCAGGGGTCAGTTTAAAAATACGTCTCCACATGAACCCCACAAGCACTCTACCGCTCTGTCTGTGAATTTGTTCAGAAACCAAAGAACCATGGTATCTGTTACATCTCGTCATTTGGGACAATCTCTAGCACTAACCCATCCAGGGAATAAAAACAAACTAATATTATTAGAGCATATAAAATGGATGCATGCCTTAGTAACAGCCTTTGTTTAAATTTAACTCGATTGTGACAGCAGGCTGGCAACATTACTATTCACCCTTAAAACCAACAAAAAGATCAAATGACTAGAACCAAAATAGCACTTGGAGGCAGAGTCATAAAAGATGAATGATGAAGCAGGAACAGTGTATCAGTTTCAATGGCTGGTTCTGAGAATCTTACTCCAACCAAAGGATCTAGACATTCCCTGAAAGGCTGGCTGCCGAGGCCAAGCTCTGCTCTGCCCCTGCACTTACACTGGATAGTCCTCAGAGTGGGAAATGGAAGAGTGTTTCAGTTAAATCCTGCCTTGGAGGGGGCACGGCAAGCAACAGACACCCCGCACTGGGAGGCAAGCAGAAAAAGCCTGGTTTTCCTGCCCTCAGGCTGTGTGACAGTGATGACTGGTGACTGTCCACGGCGGTGGCCATACCTGTGCTTTTTGATGCCGTTGGAGAGCGCATCTCCCCCACCACAATCTTTTGCTTCAGACATTCTGTGTTTTCCACTGCTCACGGGCACTTCAGTCTCTTCAAAGGAGTGTGGAGTCACAGCTTCCAGGCAAGTCAGGGACCCCTCGGACTCGGAACCTGTGGCAGAGCAGGCTCATGATGAATGTACTGAGCGTCACCCACAATGGCTGTCTCAGCGCACTGGGCTGTGAAACCCAAGCAGCCTACTCTGTCCTTTCACAACCCATCCGCAGACACCTCCTCAGGGATTTCAGAACCCACTCCCACTGCAGCTCACATGGATTTATGTGACAGATGTACGCTCACTGAAAGTTAAAAGTAAACTGATTTTATATACTTAGAAGAAACCAAAGATGGCTGAGTTCTTTAAGAAACCATACTCACAGTCTCCCACCCCCAAATTTCTATTCTCTTTCTTCTCAAGGCATCTTAACTACAGCATACCCCCAAAATGTTCAGTCTTAAAAACCCATGTAGAATGGAGTATTTGCAAGTAGCTTCACGTATGAGAAGTTTAAGTCACATCAAATCCTGCAGTAACAAAAGGAAAGGTAATTTTAAAAATACATGGAACAGCACTGCCCTGGCATGATTCATCTGAATTGTTGGTGTCCTTATATCAGTTAGGAGGCATGTGTTCTAAGGACAGAAATGCCACATTTCCAGTTGCCTATGTACTCAGAATGCAGCCATCTGCTTGCTGGGGACCAAGCAGATGATTCATTTCTGTACCATCCACGGCAGCTGCCAAGGCTCTCACAGCCTGCATCTCCTCTGAGGAGCTTCAGGATGCTTTGGGAAAGGTAAGGTGAGGCTCTGGATCATCATCAAGTGTCTTAACAATCTCCTGGCTTATGAGTAGGAACTTGAGATCTGAATCCCAGTTTTCTGACTCCTCATTTAATAGTTTGTTGCAGCTCAAAGCAGTAGTCACTCACTCTGAAGAAAAACTTTTACAGGAGGCCTGTTTCTAGTCAAACACTGTTTAAGACGGACTGTGATTTCCCGTGTGACTCCACCCACATGTGCTTCCCACAGCTGGGACAACCTGCTTGGTGCCTGCTAGTGCCACGTGTGTGCTCCAGCTCAACTCAGAAGCAAGAGGCGTCGGCTTCCTTTCTCTCGCCACATGCTGGCACTCAGCTCAGTGCATGGCATCTTACAGAAAGAAGCAAATGCTAGGCCACAGTGCTAGCTGCGCCCATGGCTGCCAGCATCGCAAAGGACACATTGAGCTTAGATTTGTGAAAGGCCAGAGCTGTTCACTCAGTCATCACTATAAAGACACACACTAATAGCCCTCCCCCACCCACTGTTTGGCTTGCTATGATTTTAGCTCCTTAAGGTCAACTACAGTTCAGCAACTACATAGAAAAATCCAGAAACCACTTGTAAGCTTTAAACTGTGCACGGCAAAGTGATAATATCTCATGTCAGCACTTTGTCCTGACTTGTGTGGTGATAAGTGTTATAAGTGAAAACACTGAGCCAAAGGAGCTACAGGACCACATCAGAGAAAAGAGGTTCCTGCCTCTATCTTACAATTTGTTCCCTTGTAAACTACCAAGAATTTCAAGAGTTAAACAACTCTGCCTTAGTAGGACTTGAAAGGCATTTGTACTATGTAATTTAGATGTCAAAAATTAAAAAAACACTGCTATACACAGGACACTGTGTTTGAAATTTAAGAGACACAAATGACAGGAAGGGGCTTTCCTACTAAAAAAGCTTTTGTTCATGTGTTGTTTTTTTTTTTAAACTGAGAAGCAGATGTGTGATAAACTGTAAACAAGAGACAGTAAGAGCTTCTATGAGCAAAAGCAGTCTTTCCCTAAATAAGATCTCAGTGTGGGACAGACACAAGCTGAAGGCCCGCTTTCATGTGTGTTAGTCCTTTTAGAAATGTGCATACGGGATCACCATGCTCACCCCAGGGACACCAATCAGATGGCACTGCAGACCTTTGTCCTCTCTGGCTGCTGATACCTGGCAACTCCCTTTGTTCCTTTGCCTGTCATCTCCCTGGCCCCCTTCCTCTCCTCTACCATTACCCATCTCTACCTTCCTCCCTAACTCCTCCTCCATCTGGCCCATCAGTTAAAAAGCTCTGACAAAGGTCCTTGACTACCTCTGTTGTGTAGTGTCCAGTGGTCATCTATCGATCCTAACTGTGACTTATCTACCTTCTCTGCCACTGCTCAACTCATTCCTCTCTTCCTAGGAACCACGTGCAAGGCAGGCACATGAGACATGAGATTCCCAAACAGTGAGATCTGGCAGCCTCCCATGGTCTGGCGGAAGTGTACTGTGTGGGAAACAGATGTGCTCACTGAACTGCTCCAGGTACAGTGACAGAAGTCAGGATGGGGACAGTGGGCCGTCAGGCGTCAGCTGCTTCATGGTGGAGTACAGTGTCGGCAAAGGGTTGTGGCTGCTGAACGAGTTGAGTAAGCTGACAAGAACAGGGAGGAGTGTCACTACACAGGAACTGTCCCAGGGAAAAGGCGACAGCGTGTACCAGCACGAGAGCAACAAAATAAAACAGCAGACAGAGGAAGATGCAGGAAGGCGTGTGTATCGCGTACCTACGATACAGAATATTTTAAGACGGTAGCAAAGGCAGGCAGAGGGCAAAGAAGATGTAGGAAAAAACCGAGGGATGATAGCCTTCTGTTTATATTTGAACTAAACGGACTTTTGTTTTGAAACTGCTTTTTACTTCCCGGGTAATGAGCCATATAGATGATCAGGTGGAATGGAAGAAAGCTCAAAATCCTTGGCAAGTGCAGAACCTCGTGGCAAGCAGTGCAGTGCTGGCCCTAGTATTAAGTGTGACAACGTCCGCTTTCACTGGAAACAGGAACCTGTTCTTCATGGGGTACACCTTCAACATCAAACACACCAATCCGTTTCCAGAGCAACACAGTTTCAAAAAGTGGGCCACAGTTCCAAACGACGTATATTCAAACTCGTTTAACCAGATCAGATGCCAATCCTTCATTAGTCATGTTTCCCAACTTGCCACTGCAGTTTCCAACATCAGCACCATGACCATAGCTGCTGTAGAGGTTTAACCAGCCTCATCAGAGTCTATCTACACAGGCAGTTTCCAGGTCTCCTGGTAAGGCACTTCAGTAGCAGACTACAGTACCTATGAGGTGACCATTCAGCTCTGTAATCCCTTCAACTCTGTTCCCACTGTGAGAGGCCAATAGGCCAGGTCTTAGGACTACCCACTGCTGCTGGACAGTATATCACCACTTTAGAGGGAAACACAGTATTGGGGAGGAGAGTGTCTCACATCTCCATGTGCTGGCTACTTGTCCGTTATATGCCACGGAACTCATACTACAAAAAGAAAAACAAAAACGTCACAACAGAACCAAACAGAGATGGGATAAAGCACAGCTGGAGTAGCTTTGGAGGTGGATATGTTAGTTTGCCTCTCACACCCCCTTGTAAAGGCTCACTTGATAAAGGCCTGCTCCCTAGTTTTGAACTACTTGAAGGTAGTGGATTCTGTAAGAGGCAGGAGCTAGTGAGAGGTCTCTGGTCTCTGGGTGTGGTGATCTGAGTAAGAAAGACCCCACAGATTTCCAGTTTAGTCCCCAGTTGATGAGCTGACTAGAAGGATTAAGTGTGTCCTTATTGGAGGAGGTGCGTTCTTGCTGGAACAGGTTTGTAAGTGGAGGTCAGCTTTGATGTTTCAAAAGTCCACGCCAGGCCCAGAGTCACTCTGCCTCTCTCTGCTATTGCCTGTGGATCAGAATGTAGCTCTCAGCTACTTCTCTAGCACCATGCCTGCCTGTGTGCCTCCATGCTCCTGCTATGATGGAGGATACAGTTTCAACCCTGAAACTGTAAGTAAGCTCCCAAGTACATGCTTCCTTTTATATGAGTTGCTCTGGTCATGGTGTCTTCATAGCCTTACTACAGTAACTAAGACACAGGGATGTACCATTGAAGGAGATATTTCTCATCATGAGGTGAACAGTTCTGCTTCAGTGTGTGCTTGCATCATGATATGCTCTGTGCTATGGACCTAAGAGTAATGTGGCCATATGATAATGGGCCGGATCCTCCAGAACTGTGAGCCAAAATAAACCTTACCCTTTAAGTTAATTATCTCGGGTGTTTGTTATAATGATGAAAAGCCAGACAAACTCAGATGGGAATGGTGACACACAGCACTGTGAATGTACCTAATCCTACCATGTGGCATATTTAAAACTGATTAGTAATTATAAGACATTTTGTTTTTACAAATTTTACAATTAAAACAAAAACAAAAATAAAAAGTGCAACTCCAAAAAATTTGATAAGCCAAAGTCAAAGGCCTTACACAGTTAATACATGAACTCTATTCTGGTCCTTTCAGCTCTGACCTCAATATTGCTTTCAAAAACTCACCATAGGGGAGCATAATTTTCTACTATTTTTAGTTGCAATCACAAAAAGTTGATTTAACAATGTAGTTGATTCACACCATATTAGCCAGTCATTTACCGTTTGCCTGTATTTTTCTCTATAAACAGTTATGATCCTATAATATGGCAATAAATTAAAAATTTTTAGGATGCCTCATTGGTCCCTGAAAAATAGGCAAGGAAAATTCTGGCATTACTACCTGATCTTCTTCAGGGCAATTGAGAATATTCACAGAAATTAAAGGTGGGGGATGGGTACTTGGGGTAGTTTTATTTGTGAGTCTACTCTCCCCAGTTCCTAGAGGGGTCAGGTGGGTTCTCATGGATGCTCTCCTTTACAGAAAAGCTACTGGAATGAAAGCGTTCACACAAGCATTAGGATCACCACAATCTCTGCCCGATTAAGGAAAAAGAGCAGCATTAACAGAATGGCTGAGATAACTAACACAAAGCCCTCTACAGTTGTTTGTAATGTGGTGACGCTCTGCTCATATTAGAATTAAAAATTATTCCCAACACACTCCAGAGTGAAGGTGGCACTGTGGTTTGGATATCAAGTATATTCCACTTTTGTGGACCAAGAACTATGTGCACTTCAGAGAAGTGATTAGACAAGAGGGCTCTTTGGAAGTAGTGGGTTCGTCGCCCTGCTCTCCATAGGGCGGAGGGAGTGTGGAAGGTGGGGCCTGA